TCGCGGCACCCTCACCAGGTACGATGTGATGTGTGTGTGAGAATGCGGGTTAGTGGTGATTCTGCAAAGTGCTGCTCATTTGAGGCTTGAAACTTGAAACTTGAAAGTTGAAACTTGAAACTTGAAACTTGAAAGTTGAAACTTGAAACTTGAAAGTTGAAACTTGAAAGTTGAAAGTTGAAAGTTGAAAGTTGAAAGTTGAAAGTTGAAAGTTGAAAGTTGAAAGTTGAAAGTTGAAAGTTGAAAGTTGAAACTTGAAACTTGAAACTTGAAAGTTGAAATTTGAAATTTCAGTTGAAAGTTGAAATTTCAATTGAATTCAAGTTTCAAGTTTGACATATATGAGAAATTCGAGCAAAAATCACGGCTCATTCATCTTCCATATAAAAAATATTTGAAAAACTCTAGTATTATTTCTTTCGAGCAAACATTCAAAGAAATTCTTAGTCCATTTTTGATCGATTTTTCGTGAAATATTTTTTTGGCGATATATTACAAGTTTAAGAAAAAAAATTCTAAATAATTTCTTATCTTTTGCGAAATCTATTTTCTCCTTTTTCAAACCTCTTTCATTATTTATTACAGTAGAACAATAAAGTATTGTCTACAACATTTGAATGAACACAATGCATTACTTGTTTCACGATTAAATCCTTGGACTGATGAAATCATTTAAGCTTCATGAAATAGTTAGTAATGGTCGTCAAAAACTTGAACAATGGCAAAAAGATTGTCATGAGAAGATTGATCATTTCTTTGAGAAAAAATATCAAGAACTCGATAGACTTGTTAGCAAGAAATTAGATCAACAACAAGAAAAAATTCTTTATGTACAATCAAAAATGAGCAAACTTGTTCGTGAACAAGAAGCAATCCGAGATGATATTGACACATTGACATCAATTATTCATCAACTAGAAACAGAAATTAAAAAATTGAACAAACATATTTCAAGATCAGCACTCGATCGTTAGAAATCGATGAGTTTTGTTCAAGTTAGAAAAATACATGAACATGAACTCGATCAATCAACTCTTGCGTCTTTTTATAGAACATTTCATAGTCCCATTGAAATTTATGCAGTATTAGCCAGTACTTATCAATTTTTATTAATACACCAAAAGCCGCATTGATGTCTGATTGACCTCGATTTGAATGTCAAGCAACAGATTGTATGGGAGTAGAAACAAATTTGGGATATGTGTTGGTCATTGACATTAGACCGGCTTATTGTTGTTGAAGATACTAATGTTTTTCTTCTAGATGAAAGAACAATGTCCATTGAGAATATAGAGATAGTTAAGAAACAAAAATGTTTGTCATGTGCATGCTCCGATTCATCTTTGTTTTCTGTCAATACATGTATGGGGATCGTCTATTATGGAATTAAGATTGTCATCTTCAATCGATATTATCAAAGAATAGAAACCTGCCCTGATATGTACCGAAAATGAATGTATTGATGGACTGGCTTGGAGTAGTGAAACGTGCGCTATAGTTATTGTGAATAATATCGAAAAGTCGATGCGAATAGAACTCCGATTTTGTGCAACACTTGATCGCATCTGGTCACAAGTAATCAATGATAATATATCTAATCCAAGTTTTACAACCCGTTGTTCTTCCCTTAATTGGGATGAATGGCTAGTGGTCGACTATGAAACTAAACGTTTATTACATTTTATAAAAGATGGAAAACTAACGACAATCATTCCATACAATTCAATACCGTGTCGTGCTAAACTGTTCGGCTCAGACATGCTTGCTGTATCGACTGAGAAAGGAATAAATTTTCATAAAATCCAATAGTGAACATCAATGTAAATCAAATGTATTCTTTAAATATATGCATTTCAAATACCAATCACTTGACCAATATTAATCAATCTACTATTTCTGTTCTTGAATAAATGTTCTAAAATATAAATCGTAAAAGTTTCCAAATAGAACTAATTTTATATAATGTCTTTTATTCCTGAATTACTGATAATCATTGCACATTTATATGAAATGTTTTCTTGTTGTTAAATGAAAAATAATCCAATAAATTACATAGAATAGCAGGTTCATTGTTATTTTGAAACGCAATTTTCTCAATCATTTACTATTCATATAAAATATTTACTTATACATCAAAAACAAGAGAATTTCAAACTCTACAAAACTGTATACTTCACTGTAGAAAACAAATGAAAAAGTGTGATATCACTAATGAGAAATTAACTAGATTTCTAAAAAAACGAAAACATTTTCAATGAAATCATCTAACTTTTTGACCATATTCGAAAACTTTAAACGATAGCTTTATATAAAAATTCAGGACACAAAAAATGAGAAGAAAAACAAAGTTTCATGTCCGTTTTGGTTTCTGCTCGATTCTTCATGACTTCTGACAGAAAAAATATTGTATCGCGAATCATCAACCGCGTAGTCTTATAGTAAATGAAATTCTGCATTATTTGGTGTTCCAGTAAAGATTTTTCAGCTGCCCTTTAACTCAAAAAAATGGCATTGTTCAAAAGCTCTTCTCAAAATCATCATGAAGCGTATTTTCCAGAGACTTTCAACTACCGAGTAATGTTTGGATATTCGAAAATGAATCATTTTGATAGAGGACAAAATTTTTTACTGCTAGGATTGTCGTGCAAAGGCAGAGTGTTCTTTTTTAAGACTGAAGCTTTTAGTTTTGTAACGTTTAAAATACTCTTTCTTTTGGTATATGAATAAATATTTTGTATGAATTTAAATGAAAGAAAAACAACATTTACATTTTACCCAATTTATTTTGATCCACTCATTACTTCATATAATTTTTTTTCTAAAAACATAAAAAACTGCCTTCCATAGAATATACTATAATATTAAATTCTGCCTGTATAATTCATATGTCACAGGATATGGTTCCCTTGAAATATAGAAGAAAAATAACAATATATGAATTTTGAATTCTGCTTAAGTATTTGTGCAAGATAAACTATAAATTATACTGTTAAATTAATTCAACAGTTGTGACTGCGAAGATTGTCAGCCCCTTCTCTTTACAACACTACTTAACAGATTAATCTGTCTAGAAAATCCAATTTAGTATTTAAGAAAAATGCTGCATCAATCGTATGATTACAACAACAGTCTTCAATTTTCAGTCAGCAGAAAATGTTTATAACTCGATATGTAAACATGTTAATTATTCGATGGATTGTACCAGTTAACAAGTTTCCATCGGAACAATAATAAGAAAAGAGTGCCACACAGGCGAAATAAAAATTTTTTGTTATTGCAAAAAACTTGTCATTAAGCGCTCAGTTGTTTATTTTTCCTTTATGTCATATTAACCTGCATAGTTTTTTTTGTTAAAATGTTGTCCGGAAATACTTCATTAGTGTAATGTAAAAACATGTTTTTATTTCGGTCGATAATTAATGTTTAGCATAATAAGCAATAATACTTGGTCGTCAGTTTGTAATTTAGCGACATCTACATTTTTGATTTGCAAAATATTTATTAAAAGTTTTATAAAAATTTTCTACTTAATTTTTTATACTTATCATTCTAATTTAATACACAAGTTTTTCTGTTTCAATTAATAAGGATAGTAAAGTTCGTCAACTTTGTGGTTGGTTATTGGCATTTCATCTTGTTTATTACTCAGTCCAAAACTTGCAAATAAACACCTATTATTCTGATAGAACAATCTTTTTCGATTTCAATTTAAAATTATTTTTCTTTTCTAGATCTTGTTCTATATACATTCAATTAATTTTCCACGAACAAGAAAATAACATCATGGTTCGCTATGCACGTAAGTTAATGTTTTTTTCGTCTATGAAAATTTTCTATTTATTTCTTTACAGGCACTGTTGAAAATCCAGCAAAATCTTGCAAAACTCGTGGTGCCTATTTACGTGTTCACTTTAAAAATACACGTGAAACAGCCAATGCTCTTAAACGTATGACTTTACGACGTGCAACACGTTATTTAAAAAATGTCATCAATAAAAAGGAAATTATTCCATTCAAACGTTATAATGGTGGTGTTGGTCGTAAGGCTCAAGCTAAAGTATTCAAAGTATCCCAAGGACGTTGGCCAAAAAAATCAGCTGAAATTCTTTTACAATTATTAAAAAATGCTGAATCAAATGCTGATGTCAAAGGTCTTGATGTTGATCATCTTGTTATTGATCATATACAAGTAAATCGTGCACCTAAGATTCGTCGTCGTACATATCGTGCACATGGTCGTATTAATCCATATCAATCATCACCATGTCATATTGAATTAATTTTAAGTGAAAAAGAAAATCTTTTAACACATACAGGTGGTGCCATTGAAGAGGAACCAGCAGCTAAAAAGAAAGAATCAAAGAAGAAACTTAAACGACAAAAAATGATGAATAGAGAATAAATCTTTATGATTTAAATATTCTCATCAACATAACAAGATACACAAGAAAAATCCGTTGTTGTTGTTTTTTTGTCCTAGAAACACAATGTTAATGTTTCTTTTAATAAAATATAAACATCCAACGATGGATAGAAAAACAAAAATATTGTTGTTTATTCTCTTTGATAAAAAGCATAAAGCAAAAAATAAACACTTTCTATACAATCAGTTGTAGATTTTTATTTTAATGTCTGTATTTACTCGAGCGAAAAATGGTTTGTTTGGACAAACTAAACCACGAAATCCACATTCGATTGAAAATCTCAAGTAAGTTATTCGATATATAGAAAACAATCGACAAGAGGTTATTTCTTTTTTCTTTTTTTTTTTGTATTTTATTCAGATATTTATGTGGTGTTTTAAATCGTAATCCAATTGTATCAGATGCAAATCGTGATTTATTAATTGAAACACTTCGATGCATATCAGAAATTCTTATTTGGGGCGATCAAAACGATAGCTCTGTATTCGAGTAGGTTGTTTATATTTGTTATTGAATTTTGTCAAAAAGTCATTCTCACTTTAAAAATATCTGATTTCTCAAGTCGAATTTATAGGAATTGATATTGTGAACATAATAATATACTTGTTTATTTTGATAGTTATTATTTTAGCTTGATACTCTGAGATAATCAGAACATTAATCTTCTGTGCTTTTTTTTACTCATTTTATCTTTTGGTGTTAACATCACATTACTATTAGTTTGAAATTGTTGTACATATCTTGCAAAAAATGAATAAGAAATTCAGAATATGTCCTAGTTCATAGTTCAAATGCATTACAATTTTATGAAATAAAACAACTTTATTGCATAGAATCGTGAAATCATGATTGTGTTTTGTTCAATAGAAATCTACTCATTTCTTTTGAATTAGAATTTTGCCAAGTTCGAGGGAAGTCATTACTTTATGAACAGTAGCTTCCAGGATTTTTCTATAGATCTCGTTATATATCTTATCATCAAAGGGAAGGAATTAGGCTGTAGACATATTCTTCAAGACTATTACTCTTTTTTGATAGAGTTCTAATGTATGAAGTGCTATTGATAGATAAATCTGATGGTTTAAATCATTCTTAATAGATATTATGAAAATTATATAATTGATTTTTTTTTTAGTTATTTTCTCGAACGAGGAATGTTAACGCATTTTTTAAATTATATGCGTCAGAAATATGGACGTTATATATGTGTACAAGTATTACAAACGCTCAATATTCTCTTTGAAAATATTCGCCATGAAACATCTTTATGTAAGTTTTATTATCATAATAAAATAACTAAAAATTGTTTTTTTTTTTTTCTAGATTATCTTTTATCAAATAATCATATCAATAATATAATTGTACATAAATTTGATTTTACTGACGAAGAAATAACTGCATATTATATTTCATTTCTTAAAACTCTTTCATTCAAATTAAATTCACATTCAATTCATTTTTTTTATAATGAAGTATGATATGTGTATAATTTTTATTTATATTTTTTTTTTTAAATCTATTTCTTTATTTAGAGAAATAATGATTTTCCATTATATGTTGAAGCAATAAAATTTTTTAATCATTCAGAAACAATGATTCGTATTGCTGTACGAACATTAACACTAAATGTTTATAAAGGTACATATAAAAATGAAGATACAAAAAATAACCGGCATGTCTTTTTGTTTTTGTAGTACCTGATTCAGCAATGCATCGTTTTATATTAGATCGTACAGCAACAGAATATTTTTCTAATCTAGTATGGTTTATACGAAGTCATATTTTAGATTTTGATAGTTTAATAAGAAATAATCAAGAGTAAGATAATAATATATATTTATTTGATATTTATTGATTATTGCTTTATTTTATTTAGTATTAATAATCGTGATCGTTTAACATGTAATTTAGAAGAATATCTTGATCATATACATTATCTTCAAGATATATTTTTGCTCAATGTTGATAGTCTTAATAATGTTCTTAAAGATCAATTAATGAATCGACTTCTTATACCGGTTTATATATTTTCATTAATTAAATGCGATAAATCTTCACGAATAACCGTAAGACAAAGTAGTATTCGGAAGTAGAAATTTTTATATGTGACAAATGAAGAAAATAACAAAGACAGCCATTCCATGAGAAGAAAGAAGAGATAATAGGAACAATCATGTGTACATATGTATATGCAATGACATAATTGAATATTTCATAGGTCGAAAAGAATTTGTTGATTAAAGAAATAAAAAAACCAGTATTAAATAATTTTTTAGACATTATACAAATAAATTCTGGAATAATTTAAGCTTGATCGGTATCAGAGAAACTTGGTCCGGCATATTATTTAGTATTGAGTATTATCAAATAAAATCTCATTGATATACTAAGATTATCAATCAAGTTAAGACACCTTTAAGCAATGAGAAGATATATATTCAATATAAGGATAGCCGGAATTCCGCCGTTATGATTTTTACTAATGGAGAAAGTTCATTCTATTCACGCTAATGCTCATCCGGACTTTCGCTGTTCGCAAAGTTCGAATACTTCTGTACTATAATAATAAGGAGGAAATCTTGAAGACTTCCTATAAAAAGATGCATCCATTATTCTCTTTCAATTTCAATTTTTGATATTAAATATTTTATTTTGTTCAGGATTCTCGAGCTATGCTTGATCAATCATCTGCTTTATTTCTTCTTGCCGAAGTAAGTAATTGATGAATTGACAAACTTTAATCTATTTATTTATTATTTATTTATTTATTTATTTATTTATTGGTTTTTCTTGTTGTTCACTATCGACCTGTTATAGAAGAATTAGCCGATACAATTCTATCGGCAAATATTGAAACAGTTGAAGCGGTTCAACGTCGTTATGGAGAACAAGTAAAATCAGTTTTTTTCTTTAAGTTTTTCAATTTTTCATTTAGTATTTCTAGATTTCCTATAGTTTACCTCCAACATCTCTCGATGTTTGTTTAGCTAAAGTAGAACCAATTTCTAATAAAATAACTTCCGGTATTAATTTATTTCTTCTCTTGTTATTTTTCATTATTTTTATTTTCAGAAATTTCACTTAATGCTCTTGATATTAATAATGATACATATCGATATCGTCATGAATATGAACAAATTCGAGCACGTTCAGCATCATCATCTCCTCGCACTTCTTCAACGAATCAACGAATTATTGAAACAAATGTTAAATCTACATCTTTATATGTATCAAATTGGACTACTGATGAAAAAAATAAACGTCATCTTGATCAAATGAAATTTACTGATACTCATTTAGCTGAAAGGTAAATTGAGAATAAACAAAAACAAAACTTTTTTATATTTCTTTTATAGACCTTATTTTGAAGCATTAATTAAAGCACTTGATTGTACGGAAAATGATCAACAATGTTTTTATGCATTAAGTGTACTTTTAACAATAACAATGAATCCATGTTAGTTTGTTTTTTTTTCTTCATTTTCATCGATTTTTAATTTAATTTTATTATTTCTAGCTATTGATAATGCTATTCTTGAATCAGTTGGTTTAACAGTCAAATCTTCAGTATGTAATTTTATTAATATCATGCTGTTTTGTCGACATCTTAAGACTCAATTAATTAAGCACTTAATGAATATGAGGGTGTGGACTATTTTAATCGAGTACATGAATATGACTTATTTTCTGTCAAAAACGCATGTTTTTGATATAAGTATTAATTACTAGTACTTAAGAAAAGGACTGACGGGTTCTCTTCTTATAGATTCCAAATATGTGTTTATTTTTCTCCGAGAGAACTTCTTCAAAAAAAAAACAGAATGTGGAAAACCTGTATCTCAGTCCAGAAGCATTTACGGTAACTGAGTAGACATGGCAGATAGAGAAAAATATTTTGTAAAAGTTTCCTCGTGTCTGAAGCTGTACTAAAGTGTACGTGCCGACTATATTGAACATGTCTGTTTTGAAAAAAGATAGTTTCTTTTAAGATGATAGAAACGTGACCATTCTTTCGGTCTAAGAGGATGTGGGTGTGACTTTAAGAGGAAATCAATACTCACACCCTGTCATTTGTTCTTTAACATGTCGATGAAATGAGACTGAACTATTTTAATGAATTTTTCTTTTGGAGAAAAATGAATGTTTTATTTTATTTAAGAATAAAAGTTCTTATAATACAATATTAGTTGATCAACTTTGTGAAATACTTCTATTATCAGTAGCACAAGGTAAAATATAGAAATAACTTATATTTATTTCTTTAAAACAAAATAATATAATTATTCTATATTATTTAAAGATTCAAAAATTCGTCTTGTAATATTAAATTTAGCAACAGATTTATTAAAAAAACTTGTTTATAATGAAGAAGAAAAAATTTCTTATTTATCTGATCATCATTTAGCACGTATTGAACAAGTACATGAACAATCAACTCAAGAATTAAGACGACATTATCGAGTAAAAATTTATATATTGATTTATATTTTTTACATCTTTTTTTTTTCTATTTCTTTTAGCAACTAGACACGTTTCTTGATATGTTTGAAGATGAATATCGTCAAATGCAATTAAATCCAATACGTTTAGAATATTTACTAAAAGATGCATGTATGTTATATCCACCAACGGCAACACCATTAAGTCGTGTAGAATTTATTAAACGTTTACCATCGAATGAAATGGAACGAGCAAGAAGAGTAAAGAGCAAAAAATAGATTAAAATGAAAATTCTATTGAATTTTATTTTTTTGTTTCGTTTAGTCAATTCGAGTATTTTTTCTTATTCGGACTTTGTCATTGGAATTAAGATCAATTACAGAAACTGAGTTACCATTAATACAAGCAGATAGTGTAGTTAAGGAAACCGATAAACTTGATTTGAGTAAGTAAAAAGAAAAAAAAAATATTTTATCAAAAAAATGCTTTTTTTTTTCTTGTATTTAAGGTAATAGTGATTTAATTGCATGTACTGTTCACATGAAAGACAAGTAAAATTTATAATTAAAATGATTTTATTTTTTATTCTTATGTTTGAATTTTCGTCTATAGAAAAGAACGTCGTTTTCTTGTAACGGATCCAATGCAATTTATTCTTATTGAACCAGATATTAAAAGACTTGGATGGGGTATTGTGAAGTTTTGTGATTTAATGCAAGTTAGTATTTCAATAAATCATCTACGTCAGCTTAAACTTAATACTTCTTTATTTTTTATTGAGATTTCGATAGCAAAGTGTACATAATCATATTCCTAAGGGCATATTAATAACTGTTAAAAATCATTATAATTTTCTTTTAATACTAGACTGTCTAGAATAGTTATTCGAGATGTTTTATGAACCATTAATTACATTATCAGTAGATGAGTTTTGATATAAGGCTTTCGGTAATTGTTAACTACATTATTAGACAAAAGTTATTTGTCTTTGGAAGAAAGTTCAGTTCTGAAATTTTCAACACTTTAGAGTCTGAAGTATCCGAACCATCTTCGTGGGTCAATCGAAATTAAGATAAATGCATGAGAAGATAGATCGAGGTCGGTTATTTTGAGAAACAATATATGATTCTTTTTACTTGGCACTTTTCTCGAAAACTTTTCGATGACTTCCGTCACATTCTGCTTGAAAAATGTGTTATTTTTTTCAGGAAGAAAAACAGGAAATCTTTTTCATTATTTTTCTGTTTACACATCCGAGAATTCTCAAAGGAGCTTCATTGTAGTCGATCGATTTTGTCTTCTATTTGAAAGAGCATATGAAGCTGCAGTGCCTAGTTTTGTCAATTAAGTCTTATTATTATATTATAATGCACTTCTATAAATAAATGACTGTTTTTCGAGGTATTGAAATTGTTATCCTTTTTCTCTGCGTAAAAAAGGAAGCATTTACAAGAAACAAACTCTGTCAGGCACTGTAATCTGACATAGTCTTTCAAATAAAAACTAAATTAAATATATGAAATGAATACCTACAGAGAATTTCATAATATAAAGCTGACAATTTGAATATTCCTGATTCAAGATCGAATTTTGAAAGTGTAGAATTCACCTATTTTCCTCAGCTACATTTCCTATTGTATTCATCTCTATTTATATGATTTATTCGAGTAATGAAATTTTTTTCGATGATTATAAATCTTTTATTTAATAGAAAAAATTATCTTATTTCATAATACACATGTACTATTTGAATTCTGTTTTGTTTTTAAAGGATGTTAAAGTAGCAAACGATAAAGAAGATACACGTTCTCTTCATATAACAATACATAAACCAATTAATAATACATATGTTAAATCTAATCCTCCTATTCTTAATGCAAAATTTACATTTGATGATCATATTCGTTGTATGACAGCTAAACAAAATTTAACTAAAGGTCGTCAAAGGTATTTAATATTGTATTTTCTTTTTAAAATACAAATGAGATTCTATTTCGTATAGAGCTCGTGAAATTAAATTATCAAAAATAGCATTAATATTAGACATTCCAGAAACAACAAATCAATCAAATTATATTACATCTCCAAGAACAACATATTCACAACATCAATTTGGTAAGGTTTTTAATTTAACTATAGTTCGAAATTCTCCAGCTAAATAATCATTATTGAATTTTTTTAATGATGGTATTTGTTTAATTTTTGCATAACGTAATTGATTTGATTTAGTACATTTTGGTTGAATAGAATTTGTTTGTTTGTTAAGTAAATTTAATGATGTTGATTTTGTTAAATGTAATGTTGAATGAGCATGACGACGATATTGACATAGACATTTATGATTTTGACAAGTAAATTTAACATTTAATAATGTTTGATGATTGTCAGGATTTGTGTCAATATGAATAAATGAATGAGATTTTTTTGATTGACGTTTTTGAAATATTCGATGATAATAAATAAAATAAATAAGAAATAGAAAAATAATAAATGCAATAATAAGAAGAATTAACCAAACAATTAAAACATGTTTATCAGATGTTTGAAAATATTTTGGTAAAATATTTTTACTTGTATTAAAAACCCAGAGAAAAACTGGTGAAAGTTTTTTTGATGATGTGACTTTTATAAATGTTGAATTTTGTATGTTAAATTTTGTGAAATTTAATGATGCAAATGAAGTTCGTAAAGAAATAATAGATGAAATATTAATTATTGTATAGATTGTTTCTGTACGAGTAGACTGAAAATCAAAACAGATAAGATATTTGTAAGATTTGCTACTTAAAGCATATAGATGTTCTAATGAAATTGATTCATGTTGTTCAATATGCCATGCTGATAGTAGTGTAATATTTTTGTTGATTTTATCTTTCCATTCATCGATGATCGAAGATAATACACAAGTTAAATTCTGATTTTTATAAATATCCGTAGTAATTAAAATATTTGCTTTTGTTCGAAGAAAACATTGTTGTGCAATATTACTAATATTTTGATATTGAAGTTCATTTGGTGTATAACAAATTGGTATTGGTCGACTAATTGAAAGTGTAAGAATGTTTGTACATGAACAATGCCAATAATTCTTATTTAAATTAATTAAATTTAATGATTGATGTGGAAAAATATTCGGTAAAATTTCTTTTAAATAATTATTATTTAAATAAAGTTCTTTTAAATACAATAAATTCATAAAAGTTTTTTTCCTAATAATTATTAAATGATTATAACTAAGATCAAGTATTTCTAATGATGGAAAATAATATGAAAAATTTTTATTTATTATTCGTATTGAATTAAATGATAGATTAAGTGTTTTAATACTATATAAAATAGGTGATGATAATGATAATGATCGATTAAATATAATAGGTGATATATTTGTTAGATTAGCATAAGTAATTGACATAGATTCAAGATAATTCCAAAGAGTATATTGATCAAGATAAAGTGTTTTCATAGGACAATTTATTGTTGTATAAGATTTTATTATTGAATAGAAACGTTCTTGTTGTTGAAATAAATTTTTTCTTATATTACATATTATATAAAGTTTTTCTATATTCGTACGATCAATTGGTAATGTATTATAACATTGATAACATAAATTTGATGAACAAGGTAAACAAGAAGAATTTGAAGAATAACATATTTTAATAAAAACAATAAAAATGAAAAAAATTTTAAAGATTTTCATTGATATTGATTGTTGTATCATCGAATGATTTGTCATAAGTATAAGACGGACAAGTGGTTTTTTTTCTTTTCGTCTCACATCATCAACCATCGATTGATTAATCTGTATCATATGTATATTTATATACGTTCATTCATGCACATGCGTCTCACGTTCACTCCCATTACGCACCATCATTATAACTGTGACCAGCCAGATGATATTTTAATAGAATAGGGACAATTAAACTTGACGAGTGATGTATGGTAACTGTCATCTTACGGAATAAGCTTCTCTATCATAAAAACACAAAAGCAAGATATCAAATTCATTCTTTATTTGACAATACGAGTAATGATGTCTGTGACCTATCATACACGAAACATATTTACTGTGAAAATACAATAGCATGCTCAATATTCTTTTTTTTTCATTTACCATTTAGGATTTTCAACGCCAGCATTACCGAATCATCCTGGTAAGTGAAACAATGTCTTTCTCTATAAATAAAACATCTCGTTCAATCCTATTCAGATTTTAGCGTATCAAATTTCGAAACGCGTATGACAGATGAAATTGATGTTGTACTATACACATTTCTTTTTCATAATTTTTGCATATATGAGAATCTCAAAAAAATACCGATAACATCAAATGTTGTTTAGCTTTTCTCTATTTATAATACCATTACATTTGCTATTGATTCATAATCTTTTTTTTCTAATTTTTTTTTTATTCAAGGTCGAGCAGCTTTAGTATCGGGTCCTCCACGACAATCCATTAGTCAAAAAATTTCAAATAACAATCGTTTAATTACATCTAGTACAACAACTGCTTCATCACCATCGCTTAGTACTATTGAACAAACTTCACATTATCCATCATCAAATAATCGTTCTGAACAACCATCAAATAATGGTAGTGGAGCATCGACACCATCGACAAGTCGTCGTACGTCGACATCCGATAGTAATGAAATAACACGAAGAGGTTGGTAATTAATATAAAATATGTTTCTTTTGATGGGAAATTTAAGTTTCTTTTTTAGATAGTAATAAATCCAGTTCAAATCTAACAACACCTAAAAGTTTACGTGAATGCCATGAAAAACCAGTCGATCTTAGTGAACAACCACCTCTTTCCGAAAAAGTTCATATTCAAATTCTTTCACCAATCAGTGATCGAGTAAATAAATTCATTTAATCTTTATGTTCTTGTTTTCATTTGAAAATCTTCTTTTAAGACAACTGCTCGTTTTTTTGTTGACGATGACCTTGCAACTCTGATTATACCAAATGGAAACTCGAAAACTGAACATATTGTAACTAAAACTGAAGCCATAAATAATCAATTGGGTGACAATGGAAATGAATGAATTCTTTGGATTCTTTTTTTTTCATCTCTTTGTCTTTGTCTTTCATAAATAATTGAATGAGTGTTGGATTTTTCCGAATTATTAATTTTTAGAACGGGTTATGTGTATATGAGTTTTATTTTTGTTCTTTGTTGTATATTTGTATGTACATCGACAAGAGAGCTGCGGAGTGCTCGAGACTCGATAAGATCTAGTTCCGGTGTGTGAGTCCATGTCCAGATTTAATTTCAGACCTGATTTTTATTTAGTCTCGAATCTGAATAGATAACTACTGACATCAGCCTACTCAGATGGATGCTTTGACTACCGTTCAATTTTACATTAAATGTTTTTGAAGAACTACCAAGAAATAGCTGAAATCTTGATCTTTCATTTGGTTATATACACAGAAAATGCTAGATATTGTTGAAAAAAAAAAATCCGGATATAGATTTGCTTATATTCAAATCTGAATCTGTTATGTGTGAGTTAAAAAGTTTGGTTACTGTCGAGTTGAGGTCCACAAAAACATAGGCCCGCAGCGTCATAGTGTCGATTTAGAGAATGTAAGTGAATTTATCAGTACAGTATTATTTTATTCGTTATATACATATATATATTTATTTTTTTCTGTTGGTTGTTAATATTGGATATGAATAAAACATGCAGCTATTTCAACTCGAGAAATACACTTATTGATAAATAGTAAAAAAAGATAGGAATTATGTTCTTCAAAATTGTCGAATTTTATGTTATATTACTTTAAATTCGATGGTGTTCAGCTATTAAATAATAAATGTTCAGATAATGATCATATTCATTTGGTAATAGAGGTATTAACATGTTAATATTCATAGTATTATTACTCTAGCTAACAATATGTTTATTATCCATTGTTTAGACGAAGACCACGTCATAGTTGTTTGTTTTCAAAGACAGTTTAAGAGTTGATTTTAAGCAATTGATTGTATATGCATTTTTTCTTGTTCTGTTGATTTGAAATTTCTTTATATTATCGTCAGTAAGAGCATAAATTCAATTCAAAACAATGCAATAAAAATATATATTCATTGGTCAGTCACAATTCATAATTTCTATTGATATAACGATACGGCAAAGTTCAATTTCTTATTTAATATGACTTCAGAGTTTATTTTAACTAGATAAATGATGAACTAACGTTTTTCGTACATCACAAATAAAAATTTAGTCAAGAATCGTTGTGCTTCAGTGTATTATATACTTCATGAGTTTTAGGTACAGTATCTTTTTGATTTGCAATTATCACAAAATTCGGTTTGTTTTTTTTGATAACCAATTTGTAGTTAATACAATTAAATATGTACTAAACTCATCATTCTACGTTTCTAAAGATACAAATATGTTATCTCGCTAAATCTGACATTTTGACTACCTCGAAAGTTTTATAATCTCATCAACGATGAATTGACTTTGACACTTGCAGTGAATATACCCAATGAACTGGGTGTAACATTGAATATAAATGACAGTTATGTTTTGTATTTAAAATAAATTGATGATGATAACTTTATTAAATTTTTCCTTAAAAATAGTGTGAGAGCATGAACGCAAAAAATACTCTTTGTGTTCTATGCTAAAATGGATTGATTTTTCATTTAAGAAACAAACAAATCTTGACAACGATAACAATCATCAACGTATATTTTTATTTGCTTCATATGGTACTGAACTCTTAATCGAGAAGAAAGAAAGCTACCGAAATAAGAATGTGCCATGCATTTTCAAACAAAAATGTTCATTATTCTATTTACAGTACCATTTCCTTACTCTCAATTCTTTTCCTTCTTGGAAAAAAACTGAAAGAGGCTATCAGAATTCGTTCAAAATTCCTGCATAGATATAAGAACAGTCAGCATGCTAGACTGAGAAATCTTGCCAAGTTTTAATCAGTATCCAGCTCAGAATTTTTCAGAAACAAGCATTTTCCGATTCCTACAGACAATACGAAGAATAATTAGAATTGTGATAGGAAAATACAACAGTCTAGCTTCGAATGGTTGGACAATTGTATAAACAGACCTTATGCTAAAATTCCCAAAATATTTTTTAGATCTGTCAAACATTTATATTGAAATTGATATGAAATTCATGCCAGAGCCATCAGCTGTTTTTGAGCTTTTATTCTGAGAAGTTATTGGAAAAATCATTAAATTATAGTATGTATTGCATTTTAATTAATGCACAAATTTTTCCGTAAAATAGCTACTTCCAGTAACAGTCAAAACATTTGATAATATTTATTCATGCTTTCGATAATATGTAGAAAAAATTAGATCTAGTTTTTTTTAAAAATCGAATTGAAATTAATAAAAACTGGTGGAATTTTGTTAACTAAAAACAAAATTTAAAATGAACTTATATTTTTGAAGTTTTGTTCAGAAAGAAAAAGAATAGAATTCTTGAAGGACCCTCATTGAACCTCTCAAAAACTTGATGTGTAAACACAAAATTTTTTCGTTATAGTTACGCTAATATATTGAGAAGGAGAAAGAAAACTTACAGACATCATAATAAAAAGGAAATGAATCGTGACACAATGTATGTAATCATGCTGTAATGAGTCATCTTTTCCACTCGCGCGTTGTTTTATCACACTACAAGCAACCACAAATTAGAAAAAGCAGTGAAGCACTCAAGTGAAACGAAAGAAAAAAGCAACTCGAACGATAATACGAATAGAAAACAAATAAATATATATAAAGAAAACTATAACGAACTTATATAAACTGAAGTTACTTGGTTTGTTCTTGATTGATAAAACACCACGCACATCATGGACAAAAAGAGGAAATTAACAACAATAGCTGCTGCTGCCGCTTCTGCTGCTGGCACACCATCTGAAGATACGAGCGTAGAGCCACGACATCGTCCTTATACTCGTATGATTCAGAACTTTTTGCTTGTCTGGCTCGATAGTACCAGTGATCCTGAGAAGAACAAAGATTACAAGCATATTATGTCAAAATTAAAAGAAGTAGTCAACAAGGTCAATACATTCACGAATGTCGATGAATGTATCAATTTTATCCGTGACTTCAAACATGACAAAATATTTATGATTGCCTCTGGTAGATTTGGAAAAATCGCAGTTCCCATCGTACATGACATGTCTCACATAAGTTCAATTTATATTCTTAGTGAAAACAAAATTCAACATGAAAAATGGACCGAAACCTGGCCAAAAGTGAAAGGAGTCTTTACAAATATTGCTCTGATCTGTAAAGTCCTCCAACAAGCAGTCCAAGAATGTGATCAAAACATGATTTCGATCAGTTTCATCACTACTGGTAATGACGGTAGTAAGCAAAACCTCGATCAATTGGATTCTTCATTTATCTGCACACAAATAATGAAAGAAATTTTATTAACTACTCATTTTGAACAACATCATATCGATGAGTTTCTTACGTATTGCCGTGGCATTTTTATCGACAATGTGAGACAGCTTCATCAGGTCAAGAAATTTGAACAACAATACCACGAATATCTTCCGATTTGGTGGTATACCTATCCATGTTTTCTTTATTCTATGCTCAACAGATCATTACGAATGATGGAAGTCGATCTCACCATAAACATGGGATTTTTCATCCTTGACCTTCACACCAATATCGCCCAGCTTCATACTCAACAGTTTGGTGGACATTCAACATCAGATACACTTACTGTTTATCATGGTCAAGGCCTGTCCAAACCTGATTTTGATCGATTGGTGAAAACTAAAGGTGGACTTTTATCATTTAATAATTTTTTATCGACTAGTATCCACCGTGAAGTATCCTTTACCTTTGCTAGGCAAACTATGGAATCGTCGAATCTTCTAGGTATTTTATTTGCCATGAAAATTGATCCATCTATTGTGACAACACCGTTTGCTGACATCCGTGACATTAGTTATACTAAAGAAGAAAAAGAAATTCTTATCTCCATCCACTCTGTCTTTCGCATCGGATCAATGAAACGAATCAATGGCAATCGTCGTCTTTGGCAAGTCAATTTAACATTGATCAGTGACAACGATCCAGAACTCCATGCACTCACTCAACAGATTCGCCAAGAGACTTATCCTGACGTGGTAGGATGGTATCGTTTTGGTATGTTACTAACAAAACTTAGACAGTCTGACAAAGCCCAAGAAGTATATGATATTCTGCTCAATCAAGCAACGACTGATCAGGATACAGCATATCATTATCATGTGCTTGGTATGGCAAAGGAGGATCAACATGAATATTTAGAGGCCATTGCCTATTATCAACAATCGATTGCAATTAAACAGAAATTTCTCTCACCAACCGATGTCGATTTAGCTAAATCTTACAATACCATCGGTTTGGTGTATAACAATATGGATGACCATTCGAATGCACTTTCATTTTATCGGAAAGCATTAAGAATCTGGCACAAAACGCTTTCGTCAACTCATCCTTATCTGGCTACTTCTTATAATAACATTGGTTCGGTGTATAGAAAGACGGGTGACTATTCTAAGGCACTTTCATCATATCAGAAAGAACTGCGAATTCGGCAAAAGAATTTTCCTTCAAACCATCCTGATTTGGCTATTTCTTACAACAACATTGGTTCGGTGTATGATCACATGGGTGATTATTCAAAAGCACTTTCCTTTCATCAAAAAGCCCTAGAAATTCGCAAAACAAATTTGTCTTCCAATCATCCTGATTTGGCTGAGTTGTACAACAATATCGGTTTGGTCTATGACAACATGCGTGACTATTCGAATGCACTTTTGTTTCTTGAAAAAGCGCTTGAAATCCAACAACAAACTGTTCCTTCCAATCATCTTAATTTGGCCACTACATACAACAACATTGGCTCCGTCTATGACCACATGGGTGACTATCCGAATGCACTTTCATTTCATCAAAAAGCATTGGAGATTCGTGAAAACACTGCTCCTTCAAATAATTCTCACTTAGCCACTTCTTACAACAACATTGGTTTGGTGTATAATAGCATGGGTGACTGTTCAAATGCGCTTTCATATCTTCAGAAAGCCTTAGAAATCCACGAAAAAACCCTTCCTTCAAACCATCCCAGTTTGGCTACGTCGTATAACAACATTGGTTCAGTGTATGACAACATGGGTGATTATGCAAAGGCACTTTCATCTTATCAAATAGCACTAAAAATTCGCGAACAAATATATCCTTCAAGTCATCCTGACTTGGCTCAATCTTACAACAATATTGGTTTGGTATATGACAACATGAGTGACTACTCAAAGGCACTTTCATCTCTTCAAAAAGCACTAGAAATCTACCGAAAAAGTCTTCCTTCAAATCATCCTGATTTGGCTACTGCTTATAACAATATTGGTTTAGTGTATGACAACGTTGGTGATTATTTGAATGCCCTTTCATGCCATCAAAAAGCACTAGAAATTAAACAGAAAAATCTTCCTTCAAACCATCGAAGTGTAGGTCAATCTTATAACAATATTGGTTCGGTATATTTCAAAATGGACGACTATTCAAAGGCTATTTCGTACTACGAAAAGGCATTGGAAATTCTTCAAAGCAGTCTTCCTCCGAACCATCCGATTTTGGCTCAATCTTACAACAATATTGGTTCCGTATATTTGAAAATTGGAAAGTATTCAAATGCAGCATCATCTTTTGAAAAATCATTGGTGATTCGGGAAAAAACTCTTCCTCCTAATCATCCTGATTTAGCTCAATCTCATAACAATATTGGTTTAGTGTATGATAGCAATAGTGATTATTCAAACGCACTTTCCTCTCTTGAAAAAGCATTCAAAATTCATCAAGAAGCTCTTCCTGCGAATTATCCGAGTTTGGCTACTTCTTATAATAACATTGGCTTAGTGTATCACAACATGGGTGATTATTCGAATGCACTTTCATGTCTTCAAAAAGCATTAGATATTCATAAAAAAAGAATCTTTTCTTCAAATTATTCTAGTTTGGCTATTTCTTACAACAACATTGGTTTGGTGTATGACAGCATTGGTGACTATTTGAATGCACTCACATGTCATCAAAAAGCACTGGAAACCAAACAGAAAACCCTTCCTCCAAGCAGTCCCAGTGTGGCTCAATCTTATAACAGCCTTGGTTCCGTGTATTTCAAGATGGGTGAGTATTCGAAGGCACTATTATATTTTCAAAGAGCAGAGGAAGTTCGTCAAAAAGCTTTCTCTTCAAATCATCCTGATTTGGCTCAATCTTACAACAATATTGGTTTGGTGCATTCCAAGATGGGAGACTATGCGAACGCCCTTTCATCTCTTCAAAGAGCGTTGGAAATTCACGAACGAACTCTTCCTTCAAATCATCCGAGTTTGGCCACCTCTTACAATAACATCGGTTCGGTGCATGATAACATGGGTGACTATACAAATGCACTTTCATTTCATCGAAAAGCACTGGGACTCTATCAAGAAACTCTTTCTTCCAATCATCCAAGCTTGGCTATTTCGTACAACAACATTGGTTCAGTATATATTAAGATGGGTGACTATTCGAATGCACTTTCATTTCTTCAAAAAGCACTAGAAATCCGTGAAAAAACTCTTCTGTCAACTCATCCGAGTTTAGCCACTTCTTACAACAACATTGGTTCAGTGTATGACAATATGGGAGATTATATCAATGCGCTTTCATATCTTCAAAAAGCGTTAGAAATCCAAGAGAAAACTCTTTCTCCTAATCATCCAACTTTGGCTATTTCTTACAACAACATAGGTTTAGTGTATGAAAACATGGGTGACTATTCGAATGCACTTTCCTATCATGAAAAAGCACTGGAAGTTAAACGGAAAACTCTTCCTTCAAACTATCCAAGTTTGGCACAATCTTATAATAACATTGGTTCGGTGCATTTCAAGGCAAGTGACTATTATAAGGCACTTTTATACTATCAAGGAGCAGTAGAAGTTCGCCAAAAAGTTCTTCCTTCAAATCATCCAAGCTTGGCTCAATCTTACAACAACATTGGTTCGGTTTATTTCAAGATGTGTGACTATGCAAATGCATGCACACTTTTTGAACAATCTCTCAAAACAGTAGAACGCTCGCTGTCTAAAAATCATCCGGATATTCTATTATATAGAAGTAATCTTGAACACGTAAGAAAGAAAATGTAGTTGATTTTTTTTTGTTCGAAATAATAAATGTTATGAAGAGGAAATAGTATTTCTCTGTCATCTTTACTTCAAAGTGAAATACGCGCATTAGCGCGTATGTTGAAAGCCCTGTCTTATTGAGAAGATAATTACACAATGCTCACCGATAAGGCAACCAATGCATGTTCCAAGGATAGAAACGTATTGTAAGTAAAACATCTTCACGATATAGTTCGCTTTTAAATGCAGAGAGTTTCTGTATGTCGAATATAGAGCTGTGTGATTTACTAGCTGTAAAGAGAAAGAAGAAATAATTCATTGCATGAAGAAAAGGATGTTCCAAAAGTCATGATCACTTAACAAACGCATATAATCTCACTATTGAGCAAGCTTAATCTAAAAGCTTACATTTTTATTTTAAAGAGGAGACTTGTAAAAATTAATTCTTGAGGCCCAAGTTCATCAACAGTATAGAAAAGATAGCACTTTTTCATATCATATATAAATTAGGCTTTTCTTCGACACCAAAAACGATGTACATTTTTTTTCACAATATACACGAATTTTCATCACTATTATGAGCATGGAATCGTTCAGATCTTTGATCTCGAATTCATAAGCAGTATTTTGTGATATTCTGATGAAAATTTAAAAAAACGATCAATTTAAATGGCAGATGGGTTTTAAAATGGCCCAATATACTATAATTTTCATGATTATTTAAGTTTTTGAGGAACCACAAACCATCTGCTTTGAAGAAAGACATTACAGATTCGGTTCTTTTAAAATATGTCAAACAAATAAATGTAAAGCAAAAGCAAAAGATCTGAATCATCTCATAGTCATAATAACAATAAAAATTCGAGTGAATTTTGAAAAGAAAAGTGCATATCGCTTTTGGGATCGAAGAAAAATCTAATTTGTATGCTGTAGCCAACAGTGATATCTTCTCAATAGTGTTGATAAGCTTGGTGTTTAAGAATAAACACTTACTAGTCTCCTCTTTGAAAGCATGAGTAGTTCACAGTTTTTTTCTGACTTCAATCATCTGATTAACCGAAACATAACTTTTCCGATCTACAGTCACAGAAAAGAAAGCACTGATTACGGTATAGTGTGATTATGTTTTGAAGAAGAGTGTTTCATAGTCAATCGTTCAAACGATTATAGGTGTTTTAGAAAATATCAATTTGTCTGTTAATACATATTGAAACCTTCCCATTGCATTTTTCATTCGAGTGAAATTCTAATGTTATCTAGTTCTTTCACAAGTTTCTTCAAAATTCGTTTACATCACATACTATTTCTTGGAACAAAGGTATTTTATGCAAATACGATACAAAGTCGAATAATATCTGCTTGTGATTCGTACAATATCATAGATTGAAGTATTTAGGTAAACGTATTTCGAAATTTTCTCATGAATTTTTCAACATATTGACGCTACACTGCATAAACAACTCAAAATAGCAGAAAAAACGCACGATTTTGTGCTAATTTGATTACTAGTTGTAACATTTACAGTAAAATACATTAATATATGAATATGGTCTACTCGTTCAAATCGATTTATATATAACATGTGATGCAAAAGTAGTTGGACAGGTGTGGATACTAACCAACCACACGAGGAGAGAAAGAAATACTTGCAAAACCAATTTCAAATTTTTATCTTGATTCGACAAATAAATCGTATAAATCGATTGAAAGATGACGTTAAGTTAATATCAATTATATCATAAGCTACTGCATAGTTAATTTATTCTGACTGATAATACCACAACGATTATTAATAGATTTCATAAGTTGTTTTAGTTTTTGATTCGAAATTTTTACTTATCATTCACTTTTTGGTGCATATCTAATTTGTTCTTATTACAAATATTGATTCAATATGTAATCAATTTTTGTCCTTGGAATACATTGTTTTAAAACAATGATTACCTGTCGTTTTACACGCTTTTGTTTGAAGAATCGAAATAAAATTTGTCAATTCGTTGTGCTAGTGTTTCTCTTTATTTTCATTTCATTTTCTCTATGAATATACGATAACATCAAATTATGTACAGTTGAAAGAAGTAAAAATCTTTCTTTCAACAAAATAAGAAAAAATTATTGTTCCAACATGTGTGTACTAAAAATATATAGGGGTTGATATTTTGTACTGTTATTCTATATTAGATGAATAGTGTGGACTCATTTTACGGATACTCTACTTTTTTTGTTGGATCATTTCATTTTTTATGAACCAGTGACAAAAATAAATTATATACAATTTCCAAGAGGAAAAAAATCTCTATATTCTAATACAAAAACTTTTGTTTCAGCACTTTTCGATGAAAGAGGAATATGAATCGAATTACTTTTGCGTCACATGTTATCTTCAGACAGAAAGAAAAACAATTTTACGAACGAGACAATCACCCGAGTGCTATATGGCTTTTAAATCGAGCCTACATGCATTATGTAGAATTTATTAAGCTATAAACATCCTGAAAACAATTCAGATCCGTAAACTTATTGCCGTCAAGATACTGCATTTTTACAATAATTTATAAATGAATGCCATGATTCTTGTCAGGAAAATCTTATCATTGTTCCTATTCTAAGATATACCTATGGTAAATAAAAGCGTGTCTTTCTTTCACATGACTCCTATATAATGGCAGATTTAATGTTCCAATTTCAGGATAGAAGCAAAACAAAAGACATGAAAATTTCACCCTTAGAGAAACTACGGTATTTACTTAAAAGCCGTTACATATTTACAGCATCTACCAGAGATAGAACCGATACCAATCATGAAAAATTCAGACCGATTCTATCTCTACTATCTATACAGCAATAAACTAAGGAACCAAACTCTTTTTAAGATATTCAAAACTCATTTGAGTTTGCATGATACACATAATTCCAACACAGAATCAAATAATCATTCATCAGACTTCCTTCGTAAGTAGATAAAAAAGACGAAAATTAACCTATACCATTATAACCATCATCAACTTATAAACTTCTTCTTTATTATACAAAACTGTTCCGTTAACTTTACATTATGTAAATATTTCCAATTAGAACAAATTATATCTTCTAAAATCTTTTAGTTTTTTGTTTTTAATGAACTAATAACAACCACAGCATTAAAAAAAGTCATTAAAAATCATCTAACTGAATTGTTTATTTTTCTCAAATTCAATAAAACAAAAAAAGAAAAAAAACCTATCTGACACTAAATTTATTTACATAGCATGAATTCTATCTAATAAAAATTTATACATATTTTCGTCAAGTTTATAATGTTCAATAGCTGAAGTTAAAATTTCATTAATATCTCCATATTGTTTTTCATTCATAACTGGAAATTTTTCTTTAACAGTTTTATCACTTTCATTTTCATCTTCACTTGATGTTACTGATAAACCACTTTCATCATCATTATCTTTATCACTATCAGTATTTAAATGTAATTTTTGTGCACATACATTCATAATTGTTTTTTCATTATCATAATCACATGCATAATAAAGATCAAGATAAATTGTTCGATTTTCTAAATGTTTAGCTAATTGAAGAGCTTGAGAATAAAATTTTCCTTTTAATAAATAATAAAAATATTTTGTTGCTATTTGATTTATAAATGAACGATTACGTAATATACTAGCATCAGATATTGGACGAAGTGGTGAATAAAATGTACGTAAAATTTGTTCTATATAAAAATATTCATTATTATTTATATTACGAAATAATTCTTGAGTTATATATGATATTGCTAAACGACAATCATTATCTTGTCTTGTCCAATCAAGACACCATAATAAATCAATAATATATGAATAATTTTGAAAATTTAAATAATATTTAAATAATGAATGTATATTATTAAATGGATAATGAATATCTATTAAACCAATAGGACCACCATGAGAAAATTGTAAAAGTAATGTTAAATTTGATGAAGACACATTTGGATTTAGTAATTGATTTATTGATACAATATATTTATCTTGATTTAAGAAATAATGAAAATTTAATTTTTTATTTGAAGATAAAATAGGCCAAATTGGATTAAGAGCAATATCATAAAAAACTAATGAACCTTGTTCATCGGCTACAGAAAATAATAAATTATCAATAATCCACCATAATCCAGTTAAATTTCTTGTTAATACACATAATTTTGAACGTTCAATATGATTTATTTCATCAATAGAAATTAAAGTAGCATCAGTTAAACAAAGTATTGTATGACTAGATGAACGAATAACATATAATATGGAAGATGTTAATGATGGAATATGAATAAGACGAAGAGGTACTGAACGAAAATTTTCATGATAATATACATTTAATTCATACGAACGTTCTAAAGTATTCTAAAAGAAAAATTTATTATAATTGACTTTTGTTTTTTTATAAATCATTACATGAGACTAGCAAACCTAGATCTGATATTAGAAAATTAAGAGATCCATATGACCTCATAAATAACTTAGCTCAATACATTGAACTAGACTAGCGTTTCAACTTAATTACAGTTCATTTATTACCTCCAAGAGAATCTCGCAGTCCTATCCTTAAAAGAGATACCGAGCTCGAAGCGATTTCGAATGAAAGCTAACATCAGGGTACGACTTTCATTTGAACAGAATATGAAAATTTGCTACTGTGCGTTTTTTACGAGCATGTCATTAGACTTGAAGTTAATATGAGCATAAAAAAGTCGACCCTCTACGACACTAAATCATGCTTCTCTCAATATAGACATCATATACATGTATATAAATGAAAACTAATCGGAAAAAAACTTTCATTCACTCAGAGCTTCACAACAAAAAGAATCAGAGCTATTGATCAAATCGCCTAGGAGTTTCTATGGTGAAAATTCTTAGATTATAATCTTTCATAAGAACTCAGTATTGTATCTAGAGGCTTGTGATTAACTCCAATCGATCATAAACAAACTTTCATAAGTTATTGATTATTCTTATTCGATATTATTTTCATTAGAAGTTTTTCATAGAAAACATTCCGTCTGTAGTTTTAAAGTTGCTTGATCGGAAGAACTTTATTATCGATTGAGAAAACACATTCTTAAAATTAATCTTAATATAATATTTGTAAGAAACTAAATTGATTTCTCTTGTTTCATTTGCTATTAAAATACCAAGATGAAACAATTTGATCTTTGATTTCTAGTTACTTTTGATCGTTTTCCTTCATAATAGCAAAACAGTATTTCAATGATTGCTAATGAACATTACAGATTGAAAACAAGCGAGAACCTTGTATTTTCTGTGGTTGACTACTCATGAAAGTAACTAGTAAAAATAGGATTTGAAATAAGAAATACTGAATATTTTATTATAAAAACAAAACAAAAAGTGAATTGTAATTTTAGTAATCAATTAAATTCTTCATTGCTTTCAAATTCAGTGTTTTATCTAGATTTTCAAATCTGGAGTAGCAATTTAAAACTGTACAAGATTCAATCCGATTTTCCAATGGGCGCTACCTCCTATATCGCTACGCATGATAAAATATTGTGTTAACTATACATTAAAATAGTTATTTCTAATTCTTTATATTTTTTAAAAATCTATTATCTCGAGAAATGTTTGATGAAGTTTACTTTTAACAACATGATTAAATTTTATAATTATGATTATTTACCTTATCGACCTGTTCATTCATTTCAATTGTAGTTAATCCAGATGGTGTTGATGAACAATAATAAGGATTTGATGTTTCTGTTTGTATTGAATGCATTGTTTCTTTTTCTTCTTCATTTCCCAATGGAAAAACAATTGATAAACAATTAAATCTTGATTTTCTTTGATCACCATCAATTAAATGTCCACTTGTTGATATACCTTCACTTAACATTGACCACCAAACAGTTATTGTACGATGATCATGATTAATATTAAACCATCGTCGTACAGGTATTGTATTTGAATAAGGTGGTAATTCTTCAGTTGTTATTCGAACTGATTCATTAGATAAATTAAATTTCAAATCAAATGAACGTATTGGTTTATTAAAATTAAATATATCTATTTTTGATAATGTATCATATATAACATAGACTCCATAAGGATTAAGATATATATCAGATATTGTTGTTGTTATATGAAATTTTTTTTCCAATGTTGTTTTATCAACAGAAATATTTTTTAATGTTCGACTTATTTTATCAATAAAAATAAAGACAAATGTTCCATTTGAAAAAGCAAGAAAAATAGTATCAATACATAACCATATTGTTCGTATAAGTTTAAGTGTTGATAATAAATTATCTAATTCATTTAATTTATCACGTAAATTATGAAAAATTTTATTTGATATATGAAATGGTAATGAACGTGATGTAAAATAATCATTATATTCATCATAATATGTTGCTTTTTTAGGTGTTTTATCATTGGTTGATGATGAACGTGAAGTATTATGAACAAATGGTAGAATTGATTGTTTAGTTGGAGGTGGTTTTTGTTGATAACTATGAATACTTATGTCGCGCTCATGAAGACCAGCATATTTTAATGTCCATAATTGAAGAGAACAAAGTAGAGAACATTCCGAAGACATAGTTTCGATGTTAAACAAAATTCAATATCAACCGAAAGAAACCGAGTTTCTGAAAAATATGTAAAACAAACAGAATTGTTATGTACACATTGGTTTCGAATAAAGAAAAACGAGACGAGGACAAATGTCCAATTGTTGAATGCTAATCAAACTCATAAAGTTGTCTATATATAGGACTCTGGCAGATTAGTAGAAGTCCAAAACGATTCGCACCTATATCTTTTTCTTTCGGAGTAATGACCTTTGATAAACTATGAACAAAAAGATTGAATAACAAGGATTTCATCTCGACATCTTGAATGATAAAGAAACTTTCATATCTCTTAGACAAAAATCAGAATATTAACTCTTCTGATCATTCAATATCTTAAAGTAAAACTTATACTATGAACTAGGTTGACGTCAGACAATTGAACATATTTCTGCTTAAATAGACAGTGTAGAATGCAAAAAAAAACTCCACATATATCGTTGAATTCTCATATAAATGAACTATCACCGTAGTAAAAGAAGTAGTTTTTAGTATTGAAGGAGAGCGTGTTGTGTATTGATCGCCATATTGGCTTTGTTATTTTGTATTATTTCAAAATATTTTTCATCTAATCGATACAAAAAAAAGCACTTACAAAACTGTAAATATTGAATATAGTTTTGTATTCTTCGAACGTATTACATGTTCGATAGGATTTATTATCAAACATGCACAATTACTCATTATAAATAATACTTTGTAATAAAATTTCATTTCGATCTTTTTATGATCTCTTAACATACATATGAAATCGCCAATATCTATGGTAGAATTCTCTACCATAAAAAAAATCACCCATGAAACGCGAAAAAATTTTAATTAGAATAAAAAAATATCTGCAATTGATTATTCTTAAATACTCACTCGTAGTAAGGTTGTGTCAATTGTTCTCATATTCTTCATCGCCATTATTCATGATGAATGTCAAACAATTACTTAGAAGAATCCACCGTAATGAGTCATCTAATTTATATAATAAAATTTTATTTTCATTCAGATTATTAAGATAATTATTCAATTTTAATGAAAAAATTCGAATTCTATTAAATTCAATTAGCAGCGACATCTAAAACGGTTTTATCGTCATATTTGAGTAGTTAAAGTTTTAATTTATTAAATCCTATCATTTTTCTTGCTAAATATACTTCTCAATATCAATTAGATAGTTAAAATAAAATGAAATTATTATAACTGGTTAATTATTCATCTATGAGAATTCTTCGATTGGTGGTTTATCATGCTGATATTCTTAAAAAACAAAACAAAATAAACAAAATTGTTTTTCATATTGTTCTATTAACAAAAAAAAACCTCAAATTCTTTTATGTATTAATCTTTTCTTTTTTCTTTAATTATTTGTTTATTTTTATTCATTATTATTCAATACATAATGAATCTTTCACTTGATTCAATATTAACAAATGCACGTGAACTTGTGTCTCGTTTACGTCGTGATGATGCTACAGCTGATACAGCTGTAAATCAAGCACAATATGTTCAAGAACGAATTCTTAGTATGAAACAGGTTCGAAAAATATCTAGTACTACTTAAATTGGAGTTTCTAGTAAAAATAATAAGCGACAATGTAAATTAGGTTATCTAACATTTAATTAAAGGTGTGTACTTTTCATAAACATTAATAAGAGCGGAAGATATGATGCTGTACTATAAAACTTCTATGAATGAATAGACAAGAATGTGATTATAAGTTACAGGAGCTTTAATCTTTGAAATACTGATGTTTTTCTACTTATAATATGTTCCTATCAATCATCAAATATTGTTTTTTTTTCTTCTTGAGAACACTTGCATAAGAAATTTAGAATCATATTTCCTATACGTTTTTGTTACATCGTATATTTATTACAGTATGGTGATGATCTTGCTGAATTAAATGATATAAGTTCTCATCGGCCAAAAACAGCAATTCTTTATAATATTCAAAAAGAAAATCGTCTTATTAAGTAAGTTATACATAAAATTAATAACATATATATATATATAAATATACTTTATTTTCTCTTTCATTTATAAACTAGAGAATTACAAAAGGAAAATGAAGAATTAAAACAATTAGTTACTGAACATCGAAGTGTATTAGAAAAAATCATGTATAAATATCGACAAGATATACAACAACTTATTTTAATGAATAAAGAAGAAACTAAAGCTATTAATATATTTAATACTTCATTAGCACAGGTGATTTATTCGAATATATACTAAATCTAAATTACCTATATAGAAAAAAAATAATTTAATATATCCTTTCTATGTACATATAATCAAGGTCAATGAAGATACATAAATTTTATAACTTGTGCGTAGAATTACGTTTTTTTTTAAAAGAAACCAATCAGTTTAGGTAATATTCATATCTTCTTAATTTCGATGAAGAAAAACATTAATATAACCTATTGCCTATGAGTATGTAAAATGTTTTGGTGCATTCTTTTTTTATATAAAACATTGAATAAGTCCTATTCAATTTCATAAAAGAAAAATCCTATATTATTTATTAACACGAATGGTTGTAATTTCAGTACAAAATTTCATTGATATTCCATGAACCAGATTAAGATTAAGCAAGTATGACAAATTCTAGGATAAGGTTAATATAATATCAAATTTTTTAATCTGCTTCATGTTCATCAATGCGTTTTTTTTTGACATCATGGACACGTTAAGCCTCTAAGATTCAAATTCTAAATAAAAATACACATATCATATGTTCGTCGTAAAACCAGTGCGTGTAAAAACTACGACGCCCCCAAAGCTTCAGAAAAAGATAAAGTTCCACATGAATATCACGCGTACATCCATGCTACATCGCGTTTTCTTTTGTTTACAACTGGAATATAAGCTTTTTTGTAGACACAGACACCCATAGTACAATCTCAAATAAGTAAAAATAAAACTAACCTTGGATGTCTGCAGTTTTTACAGATACTCTCTTAAAGTATATCGAGAAGTATTTTAAATGATTACTTAGTTCCTATAGTAACATAGAGCTTAAATCTAAAAAAATATTACTATTATATCCAAACTAAATGAATAATTTAATTTGTTTAATTCAAAAAAAAAAGTATTTAATTTTTTATATAAAAAGAAGAATCTTCTATATTCTTGGCATGGTTCAGTATTGATAAACATATCTTATTATTTAGGATATTCAAAGTAAATCATCAAAAATTCATGAAATGGCATCAGTTATGCGTCATGCGATTGATATTGATGATACAAATAGTGCATCACAAGAAGAACGTATAAATGCATTATTACTTGAAAATCGTGGTTTAAAAGAAATATTAGCTGCACATGAAAATATTCATCGACCAAAACAAATATCAACAACAACATTAGAGGTTTGAGTTAATTAATTATATTCGTACGCGGATATTTCTTATGATATTTAACATCTAAAGAATTATTAATGAATACATCATGATATTTTTCTTTTTTACCGACGATATTGTCTGAATTTCTTTGTTGAAAATCAAAAAGACCTTTTAACAAAAAAAAAATAATAATAATAATATTCTCTTCTAAATGTCATGTTCAAAAACAAAATGATTTAGTAAATGAAAAAAAAAAACAACCTTATTAACTTCAGACAATATTAAAGTCATTCTTTTCATCGGATTTCTTATTAACTGAGTAAATATATATTATGATTTATTTACTGCAGAAAATGAAAAATAATATATATATATATATTTTTTAGATCAATAAGAGAGTCACGCGTTTTTTGCTTTCAAACTTATTAAAAATTCTTTTTACTTATTTGGATCAATAAGAACAAAAATTTTGTTCTCTATTGCTTTATTAGTAAAAAAAAAAAGTAGAACAAGAATCAAGTAGATATATATATTTTGAAAGAAAATTTTATATCTTACAATGTTTTTATTCAACATAAGCTACGATAAAAGGGTACTGAAAGAAAACTTTTTTTTTTACAAAACGATAGAGTTTTTTTTCCTTCTTTGAATCATATCTTACTTATTTTTATAATACGTACATAAACGAAACGACGCAACAGAAAAGAGAAACAATGTTAGAAAAAAAAATCGGTTCTCATGTCTTTTTGGTTAAGTAGGTTCGGAAAAAGAATTTTTTTTCATTAATTGATTGAAAATTATCTCCTCTTTCGGACAGTGTACGATTGATATTTGTCACATATTGGCAAGTAAAACAAGACGAGGAAAAAGAGAAATACTCGTGAAATAAATTTGTAATTTTGAAATGCATTTGTCGAAAATATCTTGGAAAGTAATAGTTAATTACAATTTACTGTCGTTATACAAGGTGTTATTAACGGTTTCATAAAAGTCCAAATAATCATCGTTTTAATGAATACAGAAAAAATTGAATTAATTGTTGTCTAACAAAATATGTTTTGACGAGTTTATATGACAATTACAAATTTATTGCGTGAGTGTCGCTCTTCTTTCTCTCATGTCATTTCATTCACGAATGTGTGATAAATATGAATTATACACTGTTTGAAAGAGAAGAAAATTCCCTATCAACTGATAAAAAACAAATATTCTTTTCAGAGCTTATTTATCGAAAAGCTATAATAACCGACTTTTTTGTACAGTTCTCTTGTATAGAAAAAGTGTGTGTTTTTTTTTTATTCTAACGTTGTTTCTCTTTTCTGTTGCGTCATTTCGTTTATGTACATGTTACAAAAAAAATTAGTTATAAAATGATTCGAAAGAGGAGAAAAAGTTCTATCGTTTGGCAAAAAATTTTTTCTTTCAGCACTCTTATGCCGACGAAAAATAGGAATCGACATTTTGTGTCATTACTTTTACATCGTACATTACAAGTAATATCTCATGGGAATGAATTTGTTCTATCCTTCTCAAGTTTGCAATCATTTTATTGAGAACTACATCAGTATCTCTACGGATGTTTTATTAGATTATTTGATAGATATTTCGAATTATTATTTTATTCAGATAATCAGTTAAAATCTAACAAGAATAGAATAGTTATAATCAGGAGAATATGAAATCAAAATTTATAATCATTTTAAAATGATCTATAAAAAGTAAATTTTTAGCGAAAACTAACGGATTGTAAGTTTTTGACCATTCTGATTTCGAATATGATCATGAGAAACTTCTTTAAGATTTCATATGTTGACTTTCTAGAAAACCGATTTTTGATCTACTCAGATTATAGAGCATATCAAGTTGCCTATAAGTCCATAAACTTGTCTATTTTCTAAAAATAAGTTTCGAGAAATATAATATGATTGTGAAGATTTTAACATTGAAATATTGATATGTATCTGTTGTATGAGATAAAATAGCTGTACTTTCTAAAAAAAACAAAATGATTTAATAACAGAAAAAGGCATGGTTTTCTAGACATTTCCATAAGTTCTATAATCTGGATAGAGGAGAAACAATGTTTGATGAAATATTTGTTAGTCTAAAAAAAATTTATTGTCTAGAAAGTTAGTATATGAAGACCTAAGCATATTTTGCATGGTCATATTCAGCATTATGAGGATCGATAGTCTATAATCTACTAGCTTTCGTTTTAAAAAAAAATAACTAATCAGTTGAAAATATTTTCTTGTAAAACAGAGAAATTCATTTATTGTTTAGTCATAATAAGTAAATTATTTCAAATATTATCTTTGATTGATTTCAAATCTCCTAAGAGTATGCACTGGATGTATTTAAACGTACTTAAAAGTCCAATAGTGTCTTTTTAACATTATTAAAGCGTTGAAATATTAACTCTAAAAGTCAATTTTCTTAATACCACATAATAACTGTCGTTATTAAATAAATATAAGACGAAAAAGAAAAAATATCCGAATGAAACCTTATATAAAACTAATAAAAAAGTTAATCTTGTCAATATTTTATAAGATCTTGATGACTTTTAATGCGTTGTTTCGTTTAATATATTTTTACTAAGAAATTTATTCTTTGATAAAATAGTAATCATAGAAAAGCCATATAAAAAATATACTGCATCACCAATGTATAGTAGAAACAATCATGTGAAAATGTATGAAAAACCATAACTAAAAAAGGAAAGATCTGATAATAAGATTGATTATATATATATATATAGCATCATATTTAATTATCATTAGTTGATGAAATATTTCTAACGCTTCTTTTGCCTAACACTTGACGTTCATAGAACTTTGAAGTGTACATCGAGTATACTACTAGCTTTTCAAGTATACACAACACAGTATGATTTATTCATTTTTACTCTATAAAACCAGTTCAAAATTTTCTTTTTTCTGCTGTAAAACTTGAATAGACATTTTGTCTCAACGAATACGTGATTTTTAAAAAATAGAAAAAAAAAACCTTCGCTTTTTCAAGTACTTTATCATGTTTTATTTATACCTGTGTCTCATTAATATATACACATATTGTTATTTATTTTAGTCTACGGCTGGTAAACCTACAATGTTACAAACGACGAATATAACATCACAAGAAAATTCTTCTTCTTCATCTTCGTGTTCTTCTTTTCCTCATATTACTTCCGATCTAAATACTATAATTCCTTCTACTGAGCAGGATATATCTTCCTGACATAGGAACTATTGAACAGATATGTTTTTGTTTCCAATCATCATCATCATCATTTCACGTGTAAAATTTATCTTTTTTGTCACTTTATTAAATGTTCCATTTTGCTTGTAATTATCCCTCTTAATTCCAATCTAGTCGTGTTTGACAAAGAAAAGCATATCTTAAAGTTATTTTCTGTTTATATAGGTCTATGTCATAATGCGCTCATTTAATATAAAGCAACAAGAATGAAGCTGTTCTTTTCTTTCTCATTTTTCTTCTTTAGATTTTTATAAAAACATCGTCCGAGCAAAAGATTATATGATCAGTATAGTATTACTACAGGTAGGAAAGCAAAATAGGTTTTTGTGACATTAAATAGAGAACACAGAAGCAGATGTAACTTTTCTCGTTATAAATAAAAATGTACTGATATTATTGTTTTTTTCTTATTGATAGGTGAAAGCCTATTGAATATCTAAGATGAATGTACGATTGAATAGATTAGAACTATTATTAATTCGGGTAATATATAATCTGATTTATTTATTTATTTATTCTTAAATAATCTTTTTTTTTTAATTTCAGAATTGATAAGAAAAACAGTTTCATTTTATGTTGAATATGTTTGCAGAAAAGTCATCACCCGAAAAAAAATTATTCAACTGGCAAGAACAACAGCAGGTAAGCATAGAAAAAAAAACAAAAAAAAAAAATAAGAATGTATCAATTGAGATGTTGAGCTTTCTCTGTTTTTGTTTAATTCTTTTGTTTGTTTTTTTTATTCTTTACCATCAATATAATAGCTATTTTCTGCTTCGGGATATATATATATATATATAAAGAATATGTGAGTGACTAATAATATTTTGATAAATGTTAGATGTGATGACGATGATTCGTTCGACCGGATCACTCTCTTTTTTCCGTTATTCTTATTTCAATTATCTATCGCATTCGCTGGCGTTCTTTGTGCGTGCTCGAAGTCTCATCCGGCCTCATAATCTCATTTCAACCGTCTTTCTTTTTTTTTCCACCCCCTCTTTTCTCCTATCACTATATAGCACATAAACACATACACTCTACTTTGTTCTCAATGGTTGCATTCAAATGTAGGATGATATATCAATGAAATATTAAGCCCTAAAGCAACAGTGATAACCAAGAAAAAGAACCCAATATAAACCTTGTCGTCGATCATTGACTCACTAACAATGACATTGATTACACGAGACAAAGTGAGTTTCAACCATTATCAAATGTGTTAATACACATTTTTGTTTTTAATTAATCATAAAGGTAATGTCAATTAATCGATCACTCTATGAAATAGATATATTAACATAGAATTTAATAAAATGAATTTTTTTTACACGAACATGAGAATTATAATGTTTTTTTTTTTTTTCTTTTCTTTTTGTCTATAAAGAATACCTAGTGTAAGTTATTCAGTCATCATTTGTAGTTTTGTTTTGCTAACATATAATGACTAACACTTGATGCATTATTTTATTTTATTGATTTTTTCTCATATTTCTTGGCATCTACTTTCTATTGCCGATATATAGTTGCTCTTGCATGCGTAGGTTCAAATTATCGTTTTTATTCGATCATATTTTTCCTTGATGAAATGCTTGTTAAATAATAAGTGTGTTCTATGCTATTGCTTGTCTTTCCTTCTCTTATCTATTTTGAGTATCTATAGAAAAATAATAATAGAATACGACAGTAGGCATTGTTAATGCGCGCAGTTCATTGAAAAAAGAAAGAAGAAGAAGAAGAAAGGAGATGAAAAACTCGACACTCATATCTATCTGTTATTTTTTTTGTTTTCTTGGAAAAGAAATGATGAGTAGGCAGACTGTTGTTATTTTGAAAGATGATCTTTTGCTGATGGAAAAAAGAATTCTTGATGTCAAATATATATTAAAAAAGAAAGAGAAAATCATATTTGTTAATGACAGCTGTCAAAATCGATGCATGTTGAGTGAGGTAGAAACTATAATAATAAACAAGAAAATATATATTTTCTTTTTTTTTTCCTTCTTGTTTTATAGTCAAATACGAAAAGTGACATTGATGCTACTTTATTTTGGACAAGAAATTTTATCGTTCTATCAATTGGAAGTATTATATTAACATGTATTGTAACATTTTTAGCTGTAGTAAGTTGAATTTCATAATCGACTTTCTTTGAAATAAATCTTGATCAGGTATATTGGTGTTCAAAACAACAAAAATTATTAAAAACTAAATCGCATTCATCTGAATTAGCATCTTTTACAACACATCCTATTAATGTTAATACACCGAGACCAAAAGAAATCAAATTATTTCCAATTGTACCAAAATTAGTTCAACCAAATACATCACCCTTAATATTGCCTACTATTGAATATAGTAATAATAATAATAATAATATTAATGGAGATCGATTTACAACAGATACATGTTCAACAGCAGATTCATCATCATCATCAACGGCTGTAGCTACAAAAAAATTTCGAAAAAAAAATCTACTAGAAAGGTAATATATGTCGAATTTTGTCCTTTGGACTACGAAAAAAAACACAGTCGGAGGCGTTGGATGAGAATAATTAAGCAGCTGTCTAAAATAAGTTACTGATGAAAACATACGTGTGTAGGTTTACTTTGCGAATTGATAGGTGGTACAGAAAAGAAAATTATATTTGCTTGTTGTTTTGACTACCTTCATCTTGTTTTTTTTCATCCTACGTACCTTTTTCTACCTACGCTTACGAATGTGTTTACTTATATATATATCTTGTTGAACGTGGTGGGAAAATAACAAGTTATGTGTATTTGTATGAGAAAGCTTTGACACATCTTCGTCAATATTAGTAATAGAAAAAAAATACTCGAAAAAGAAATGAAAAATGAATAGGCTTTTGTTTTCTTTTTTTTTCTAGTATGTAGGCGTTTTTTTTTTTTTTCTTATGAATAATACAGAAGAATTAGAGAATAATGAAAGACATTACTTAATTGGATAATTTTCTATAATTTTTTCTAACATCATTAGAACGTATTGATCAATAATAAACTTATTAGATATTATTGATAGATAGAATTTTAACCATTTTGTTAACATATAGAAAGATCAAAATGACAAAATAATATTTCAAATAGCAACAAGAATTCTTTTTTCTTCTGCTGATTACACTAACTACTCTTATAATAATCGTGAGTGAAAAAAAAGACAGAACAAGAAAGTGGCGGAGAGCGAGGGAGGAAAAGAGAGACAGAGACAAAGACAGAGAATGAAAAAGAAACAAAAAATATTAATGTTTCTTTTACATTTGCTTCTTTTCATCACAGTAATGAAGGAGTATGTTTAGATTATCATATCTACAAATCTTTTATTTTTGATTTCGAGTCATATTTATCTTATAAGAAAGCATGACTAATTGAAGTATTTCAAATATGCATATGAAAACAGTATTTTCATTATATATTAGATGACATTTTAATGTTTATATAAATACTTTAATATAAAGCAGACGGGCTAGTATAGAAAACCATGGAAGTGGAGTCACCAACCGTCTGTTGTACGTATTGGAGTAAACCAACATCATTATTATTTAAAAGAAGGTACGTTATATTAATAGTTGCTTTGTCCTTCTATGCACTATTTTATATTGAGTATTGAGTATTTGTAAATGTTATGAATTCGGAATATTTTAATAATAGAAAGTGAAATGAAATTATTTTAAACGACATGTAGATTTTTTATATCGAAAGACGAAGTCACATATCGTGTGAAATAATATTTTTGCTTCCGTAAATAAGCGGAAACGGAATACAAGGCGCTGCAATTTAGTTTAAAAACACTGTACCTATCACGCTAAGAAATCCCACGTAAAATTTAAATTTCAACTATTCATTTTTTTGTTATCGCTCAAGGCCATATTGACAAGATTTATTCAAAATAGAAATATATTATTATCATTAACAATGATGTTTATTTTTAGGAGAGGTTCAAATAATTCGTTAACAATTTCTATAGCTCCAAAACATCGTCTTCTTAATAGTCCACCAGTTGATTGGTAAATAAAAATTTTGTTTTGCAAATAATAATTTAATTTAACTATATAAATATATTTTCTCTTCCCTTTTAGTCCATCTGATGAATATTTACTAACAGCAACACGAAAACTAACTATTGATGAACTTCACCAACATGCACAAGATGCTCGATTACTTTATCATGAATTTTGGGTATGTATTTCAAAGAATAAAACCAAAAGACAATCTTATTCATTTAGACAATTCCAACGAATCATCTTGAAAAACTTCGTATCTGTGGTGCTGGTACTAAAAATCGTTATGGTACCATTATTGCTAGTAAGAATTAGAAAAAAAAGATAACCTTGTTTTTTTATTAATGTTCTTTAATTGAAGACGAGCATTCCCGTGTAAAATTATCTGAATTACCTGGTGATCCACTTTCATCATATATTAATGCAAATTATGTTAATGGTTATCCAAATGAATACCATGCATTTATTGCAACACAAGGTCCACTTGCCAATACAATTATTGATTTCTATCGAATGATTTGGCAAGAACATGTACCAGTTATTGTTATGATAACTCGTTTATTTGAAAAAAATAAAGTACAAAAAAAAAAAACTTTAAATTTATTTTAAAGAACTTATTTTTCTATGAAATATTATTTTAGGCAAAATGTGAAAGATATATTCCAGATAGCCAAGCTACTCAATATGGACCATTTCAAGTTCAAGTTAAATCAATTTCATATAAAAACGATTATGAAATACATCGGTTGATAATTGAAGTAAGATTTATAAATTTCATGTTCTTTTCTTTTTTCATATGACTTTTTTTTAGTTTGAAAAAGAACAACGTGAAATTGAACATTATTGGTATACAGGTAAGAAAATGAAATGAAGTTTTGCGTTAATGCATGTTATATCTTATGTGTAGCATGGCCAGATCAATCGTGCCCGGATATTGCTCAGCCATTAATTGAACTTGTTAAAAATGTTGAAAAAAGTCGATTAGAATTATCGAATTTAAATAAACATTCTGGTCCTATTGTTGTTCATTGCAGGTACATTAGTTTTCTATTTTTAGTCATTTGAAAGAAAAGAAAGTTGTACGTTACTTTTAATAGAGTATGTCTGTCACATGCTAATCAAATATAATCATGAAAAAAAAGTTTTACCGTTGCTACTCGGTTTGTTTGTTTTTTGGTAAAAATAATTTAAAAGGTTGATGTAGCCTAATTGTTAATAGTATTATGATAAAATTCTTTATTCGCGTGTCTATGTTAAAGATAGAATGAGATAAGCGTAGGTTGACAGCATCAAAGAATATGTTTATATAGCAGGAATAATCAGTCATATTTTTAGAAATAATAGAATTTAATTAATAAAAGTATGTGGGATCAATTCAAGTGGAAAAAAATTAATTTCTTTGAACTTTTGACTATTTCTGATTATATTCAATCTGACATTTAATAATAACTTTTCTATTCTAGTGCCGGGATTGGCCGTACCGGATGTTTCATTGCACTGAGCAATGGTATAAAACAGCTTGATAATGAACGTATTATTGATATTGTTCGTATACTCTGTGAATTACGTCGAGATCGTGGCGGAATGATACAAACAAATGATCAATATCAATTTGTTTATCAAGCATTAAGCGAATACGCAAGAACGTTGCAATTCTCATCTTGATGATCTTTTTTTTATTTATTTTCTTTTTTTTTATTCATCATTTTGTCGACAATCTTTTGTTGTTTTTTGTTCTTTCTTCCTGATTGTCGATTGTTAGGTATTCTTAGCTCGTCTATCTTTCTTGCAGATATAAAAATTATTGAGGTGTGAGAAAAGACCTATTCTAACATATTGTTTTATTTTCTTCATTGCTCGTTCTATAAGCGCGCGTGTGTGTGTGTGGTCTATAATACTATTTGTTTGTGTGTTAACCAAAGAAAAAAAGAACTAGCAAAAAGTGTTTTTATTTTTTAAAATTTAAAGAAAAAAAAGAGAAAATCCGATGATGATGATATTTTTCTATTCGTTGGTATTTATCACATCGAATGAATTCTATTTTTGTTGTTGTTGTTGTTTATTTTTTTGTTTGGCTAGGGAATTTATGTCGTTCATTTAAACCCGTTGACATTCCAATGTACATTTGTATGATGCGTTTATTTTATTTTATTTTTTTTTCTTTTTGAAACATAAAATGGATTTGTAGAAATGAATATTTAAAAAAAGGAACAAGTAAAAAATTTGAATTTTTTCTTCTTATCATTAGATAATGTCCTCAGTGGCTTTACAAACGGGTAACCGTTCATTAGTTAAAATACGTTCGTTAATATTGCATATTGATTGTGCATATGCATCAAATGATGCTTCGATTCGAACGCCAACAAAATCGGCAACATCGGTTACATATGTTGGTGATAATTTACCCATTAATCTGGGTGTAAATGAAGTCAAATCACTTCGATTAACTGATATGAGACGTGGTGGTGGTGGTCGATCAAGTTTTAGTGGAATTGTAGCAACTGTTTTTGGCGCACAAGGATTTGTCGGTGGTGCAACTGTTAATCGACTTGGTACATTATTTAATTAGAATTAATAAGATATGATGTTCTTATTTTTAGCAAAAGAAGGTTCACAAGTCATTGTGCCGTATCGTGGCGATACTTATAATTTACGTGAACTTCGTCTACTTGGTGATCTTGGTCAAGTTCTTTTTACAGTAAAAAAAATTTTTTTTTTTGGTGACATGTGATCAAAATTGTTCATAAACTCACGGAGGAGTCTCTCCAAGTATTAAATCGAGTTGCAAATGAGACGATATTCATTTGATGAGTACTAATGAGTAATATAAAAGTCCAGAATAATTTGGTTTTCTAAGTTTTCCTTTTTGAGACAGGAGATACTAGAAAAGTTACAATATGCTCAATGAACTAATCTCATTAAGAACTTTAAATCGTGCAAAGCTTGAAGTCGAAATTCGAAAGTTCATTATTCACATGACCACAACTTTTTATTGAAAAATTGAATCAAATTTCGATATCTAGAGAATGAAGATTCAAAATGATTCGAGATTTTTCTATTATTCATTAAATGAACATCGTCTTGGTCGAAAAGCGATTTGACAATGAAGAGCGATCGCCCTTTTTCTTCGAAACATTTTTTCTGATTTTTCTCAACTTAAAACATTCAAAATGTGCTGATACGATCTCTAATAGACTTCAAAACACATTTTGTGACTATGCTTGTTGCCCTTTATCAAAACCTTAGATGGTTTCCTATATAGACCATTTATTCTATAGACATAAGGAACTGTTTACTTATTAAATTATGAAGAAGTTAATTAGTATAATCAGAGTAAAAGAACTTTTTGTTTGTTTTATTCTACACATTAGAATACTTATATTATTTTCATTTTAGCCATTTCATGGTAAAGATGAAGCATCCATTCGTCGTGCTTTACAACACTCAAATGTTGTTATTAATTTAATTGGCCGTCAAAGTGAAACTCGGTAAACAACTGCTAGTTTTTAGTTTAATTAGAAAAACGTTCTTTTTCTCTTTGTAGTAATTTTTCATTTGATGATGTACATGTTAAATTAGCTGGAACAATAGCAAGATTAGCACGAGAATGTGGCGTACAACGTCTTATTCATTTTTCAGCTTTAAATGCTAGTCCTAATCCACCAGCAATTATTGTTCGAAAACCATCAAAATTTCTTCAATCGAAAGTAAATTAAATATTAATGAAGAGAATCTTCATTTTGTTTTTGTCTTTTACAGTATGCAGGTGAATTAGCTGTTAGAGAAGAATTTCCTGGTGCAACAATTTTTCGACCATCAGCTATTTATGGACATCAACATAATGATGGATTTATAGCGTACCATTTTTCTAGATGTAAAATTTTATTTAAGAATTTTTCTTTTTTTGTAATAAATAAAATTATTTTTTTTTTTTTTCGTCTAGGGGTTCGACCAATATCATTTTTTCGTATTCCTCTTTATGCATCAGGAGAAAAAACTGTTAAAGCACCTATTTTTGTAAGAAAATTCATCTAAATTATTTCTTAAAAATAATTTCAAGAAATTTTTCAGGTTAATGATGTTTCAAATGCAATTTATGCAGCCATCCGAGAACCAATGAGTGTTGGTCAAACTTATGAAATATATGGGTAAATAATCTAATGAAACGTTTTTTTATTTATTTATATATTTATCAATAGACCTGAACGTTATAAATTACGTGAATTGATTGAATATTGTCTTCGATATATGCGTCGAAAAAGTATTATTACACCATTGACACCAGATGTTTTGTAAGTAATATATTAATAGAAAAAATTTTGAAGAATTAATCATAATACGATTAAATTTTCCATTTAGTGCGAAAGCAATAGCCAATTATACGTTTCATAAAAGTCTTTATAATATCGATCGTATGCAATGCGTATGTTATATTTATATTTTTTTTAGCTGTTTTTGATAAAAGGAACTTTTTATTATTATTTAGGCTTATGTTTCCGATACCGTTACACCTGGTTTACCGACAATACATGATTTAGGTATTGAACCAGTCAAATTCTCTGATGCTATTGGACACATGATGGCTTCAATGAGAAAAAGTGGTCGATATGTTGAAAATCCTGAAGATTTCTTAATACCTGATCCACCAAAACCCCTTTCACAAGAATTTGAACTTTCATATAATTTATCCGCTCCTTAATATTGTTATTATTTGTCTTTTATGCTTGAGAAATATCCAAGTAGTAGATTACAAACATTTTTTTTTCTTCATTCTCCTTTTCCATATAAATAAAAGAACCCTTTATATAATTATCAATATCTATTCAATAAACAATAGAAAAAATAACAAAAAAAAAACAAAAACAAAACTCAATTATCGAATGATTAATCGTCTTGTGTGAATAAATGAATTTGAATCGAGATTTTATCTGTGTAGAAAAATAAAATTGTTAATTTAAAGATTTTTTACTCGAGTTAAACAAGGACTTGACAAACGAATTTGTTGAAGAAAAATTAAAATAATTATATGATTAACAACCTAATGATGATGAATAGAAAGTATCAGAAGTTACTTAAGTATTATTCAAATTTGAATACAACTATGTCGTTTTTTTCGTATTAAAATTATAATCAATTGATTGGTTATCTTAAAAGAGATAAATTTTATTATCTATGATAGTAAGATAAAAATTTTTAGGATTTTTCTTTGAATATTAGAGATACTAAATTTCTGTCTAATCAAAAGAATAAAATCAATCTTTTGTCAATCTTTGATCTTTTATTCATTTTATTATTCTGAATAATTGTTAAAATAGTTTAATATCTTAATTAAGGAATTACTCATCTTTCGACGATGATTTATTACTCAGTGTTATAATAGTTTTTTATTAAAAATAAAAAACCTGACTCATTCATTTGTTCCATATATGACAAGTGTCATGAAGTTAAACTTTTTCCTTGATTGATCTTATTTTATTTAGTCTTAGCTAATTTATTAATAGCGAGATTATGATATTATTTATGTTAATAAATGTTATGAGTTTCTTTCATAAAATGTCTACTACATGATTTTCTGACTAATATTTTCATCCGCATACGATTCAAGTATTTTTTTAAATTGTCACGAATTCTTCTATTCCTATAATTAAACATTCTTTGTACTACATGTAAAATCACATGACTCTTGATGTGATTCTTATACTTAGTTTATTTATAGATTGTTGTAGAAGTATGGTTTTATCAAAATTTTGAATCAATTAATAATGAGTTGAACCATCAAATAACATTTATTTTTGTTTCAATGATTATGAAATGAGCGAAAACATAATTAAACTAGATGACATTCGAGTTTTACTTGATTGCGAAATATAATAAGAAGTTTCGAATGTTGACTAATTGAAAAAATCGATACTTTCTAAAAGAATGAATAATTATTTTTACGATTTATCGTAAAACTATTCTCTTTAAAAAGATATTTATGTTTCATTGGAATCAGAATATTGTTCTGTTTGTTATAAATCGGAAATGTTTTATTTCGACCAATCAGCTTATCGAAGTCCGAATGATACATAATCTTAGATATAAGCTACGAGAGTAGCGACAAACTTTTTGTTCTGTTATATCATATTTTATTAACTTGAAGCTTGAAAAAAGCTAAATCTACAAAAATTTGTCTTTTTTTGGATGGCTTTCTGTTAGAAAATGGATGGCATTGGTGTGATCATGCAACTTCCATCCACGCATTTACAGAAATATTTTCTGACTTTCCGTTCTCGAGATCATCGAGACATAAAATAACAACTTTTGATGCATAGCATCGAGCTAGATTAATCGAGCTAACTAAAATATTCAGTCAATCAAATACTTTGTGATTTTTAAAAACTTGCTCTATGTGAGTTATTTCGTATTTATGTAGCAACACTTGAATAATTTGTATAGAAGGTGTCGTTGAAGTTTATACAAAGAATGATCAATCCAATAGAAGTTCTTGACAGATCTTTGATAAAAAAAAGAACTTTAATATTTTTCAATCTCGTATTTTTCTAGACAACCATAATAAATGGCATTACTTGAAGTCTTTTATAGGGTTTTGTTAATTAACAGAAAAAGACGTCAGCAACTGTACATTAAATGAATTAATACTAATTACTACTAATAGTAATAATTGATTATTGGTAAGATTTTCCTGTAGTCTCGTTTCATTACATCGACACAGTGAAGACGAAATTCGCAGATTATTTCTGATATCTGAATTTTACTTTGACCAACGAACGAAATGTTATATAGAGATCTCAATTTCTCTAATGACATTTCAACAAGCATCAACTTATGTTCACTCTCGAGATTACTGCATCACAAAGTGTGGATTTTGGATTTGAAATACGATAAGTAAAAGCTTCTTCGCACCTTTAAGCATTAATTTCAATCAATTCTAAAAGTTACTCAAATATTTACCGTCGTTGTTCTCAAGAAACTTATTCGAACATATTGTTCATCAACTCACACATAAAATCTTGATTGATAATGTTGGATAAACTGTTAATGATAAAATTTTATTTAAGTCTGTTGATCTTAAAAATTGAATATCAATAATTAAATGTGATGTTTGTATGGAAATGGCTATACGAAATTATATTTTTAAGGATGAGAAGATAATAGTCTTTGTCGAACGAATTATAAAATACTAACGGATGATTCAAAAGTTTCGACCTTTCTCAGTAAATCAATGATATTTATGGCAAACCTATATATACTTAATAGATCAAAATATTTAATTTTGTAGAGTAAGAGTAGAGCTATCATCTGAAAGAAACACTTCGAAATACATAAATGTAGTTCAATATTATGGCTATGTTATTAATCTTGAGTGAATAATTTCATCTTACATTTTTTGAGACAAATTTAAAATGTTTTTTTTTCATAATAGCTGTGTGTCTTTTCCCCACATGGATTTTATACAAGATTTTTCATTTTAATGTTATAATATTCATCATATTTACTGGTTATGATTGCAGTTCTCTACCACTATTCATATTGTTAAATTTTCATATTGAGACTTATTTTGTGAAGTTTACTGTTTCTAATTGGTTCGCTAATATGCGAGTTGCTTGAAAGTATCTGTCCGACAGTTGGTACAGTTTTATTTTAACGACTCTCTGTATTCATTTCAAAGCCAAATCGATTATATGTGTCCATCAGAGAACTTGTTGCGTGTCATTTGACGAGACTCAAGCGAATATCAATTGAATTCATTACATAATCCCAAAACCAAAAATTATTGAAATATGGAAAATTTTAAGTGTAGAAAAATATAAGAAAATGATTAAGAGTATTCAACAATAGTTTAAAACAGTCGATCGGCAACCAGATCAACGCATCATCAGAGTTGATTATTAATATTTATGCAAAAAGTTAGCCTTACAAAATTATAACTCGTTTAGACTGTTAATGGAATTTTTTTTAAAGGATGAGGGCGGATAAGGCCATTTTTCAGCCCACTTTAGAATTGATTTATTTGTATCAGGTTTGAATAAGGGATCGTTCCTGATCACTTTTTTCAACTTTATTCCGTGAAAAACGACATTCACGATTTTTGTGCCTGGGGTCCCCCACAGGTATCATGAGAAAAAAAATTTCTTTTTACACGACTAAAAATCATATGTACTTGTAGATTCAAGGGTGCTGATTACGAATATCGTAATAAAATCTCTCAAAACTCCTTTATTCCTTATACAAGCCTGACCACTCTGTGGGCCCCATTTTTCATTATTGGGGTCCTTATAAAATAACTGTTCGTCAAGATTTAGTGAAAGATATTTTTTCTAACTCAGAATTTCGAGTTCTCTACGAAACTGAGCTTTTTACGCCGAAAAAATGTATTCTATCAAAAAAATAGGGCGATTCGGGGGCCCAAATTGATCCTTTATTGAGTACATAGATTTTTATCCCTATAACATTTTATGAAGACAGCCCGGTCGCAACGTCAAATTTTGACCATAAGTGTAGTTTTCCAAGCTCTATCGATTGGTGATCTCAAAAGTTAGGAAAAAGTTGTGCAACAGGGTCGAAAGTTAAAAATACCAATAAATTTTATGAAATTCCTGTGGGGGACCACAGGCACGAGAAAACATGAGATCTTCAAATCAACCCATATATAGCCCACATTGTAGAGCTCAATGAGTTGTGCTTACAGAAAAAATATTACGTCTCTTCGTCAGCTCTTTCGCAAGATATCACCCTCACAAGATTTGGCGGCTATTGTGCGCTGTGGACGCTATATCTCCCGAAAGAGCTGACGACGAGACGTAATATTTTTTCTGTAACCCCA